AACTTGCTGCTACGGATGACTCCTAATAAGACATTAAAAGTTAAAGCACAGTCAAAACATCCGTGTATCTTGTTTAAATTGACTCTGACTTTTCCCACTGGCCTTCCTGATGAAGTAAGAGACACTCTAAAACATTTGAAAGTTAAGATATTTAACACACTAAGAGATATTTGGAAAAGACTCTTATTCTCAACTAGTTCTAAACAAAGAAAGTATCTTAAAAATGAGATTTAAAGAGGTTTTCAACATGGGAATTGAATCAGATCAGCTGGATTGTAGGCATCATGAGTATCAGGACTCTCTATATTTACACACTGCTTAATTATTAGTGCCTGGTAGATGTCACGCACTTAGTACACATGTAGTTAAAATCGTAGGGATGAGAATGTTCCATATCTGGATTACAGTGGTTGTTATATGACCATATGCACCTGTCAAAACTTTCAAGATGGCGCATTAGAAAAGGTAAATTATGCCTTAATTAAAAATTTTTTTTTTACTTCTTGAAAAAAGTAATATGGGAGCACATAGGGAAAATCATGAACGGACATCCTCAAGAACGCAAAGGGGAATCTGAAATGTAGCATCACAGTCATATGAAGCAAGCTGGTAAATTCCAAACAGCAAACTGATCTCCTAGAAATGAAAGGAGAAAAAGGCTCATGGTTGGGAGTCAGAGGAACATACAGATTGAGAAAGGCTGTGTGATGTTAGGTAAGTCATTTGACTTCTCTGTGCCTCTGTTTCCTCAGCTGTAAAATGTGAAAAATGAAAACACCTACCTCAAATGGTTTCGGGGAGAGTGATACAAGAAAATGTACATAAAATGTCCAGCAGTAAATACGCACCAGCAAACACTGAGTAGATGGTAAATGGAAATGAAATACAAGCTCATCTTCTTAATCAAGCCCCTCCTTTGAGGTCCTCAAATGAGGCGGTGGAAGGGGGTTCCATTTCCATACTATAGTCTGAACAGTTGGCAAATGAGTGGTCAAGCAAAGCTACCAGGTTAGACATACCTCAAATCTCTCTGGGGTAAGAAGAATGGGGAAAGGTAGCTCACGCTTCCAGAAAAACCTGAATTTTTGCCAGAAGCAAAATTCCCACAACATAAAGTTTTAAGCAGGCTCCCAAATAGCTAGTGCAGACATGTGAGCATAAATGAATTCATCAATGAAATGATTTATCTTGGCAAACAGCCCTGAGTGGAAGCAACCATCATCTACATAAAAAGGAGAGAGATGAAATTAAAAAACTGGTACTCTGCAAATCAAAAGTAAGTAATTTTCCTGAATGGAAACAATTTATTACTGGGGGCGGGGGGTAAGCAAGAATATTTTCTATTCCCGGTTACAATTGGTTTTCAGAGGATAAACAGACCAAGCTGAGAGTCACAACATATTGGATCCCACCAATTCCATACTCAGGGTAAATTAAGCAATTAATTCTCGCAGAGGAATTGGGTAAAACTTGTGCCTAATGTGGCCCTTAAAGCAGTAAGACAGGACTTAAAAGTTCAGAATCTGATTTATTACATATTTAACAATAATATTTAACCATTCGAATTTAGCGTTCCTTGCAGGGCTATAACTCACTCAATTCAAAGATCTTGAATTCTCATTAGTTGAAAGAAACCATTCCTTAAAAGCTCTTAAAACACGTACCTCTCCCGTATGACTCACAGTTAAGCCTCCTTACAGGAAAGCCATGCTGTTTTCCCCATAACCTGTTCAGTGGGTCAAGATTAAATAATAACTAGAGTTGTGCAGTCATTACGTTAGCTCTCCACCTAGTACAAAACCACTCAATTATTTAGAGAAGGTCTGAGTTCACTTAGGGAATTATTTTGGACTCATCTTTAATTTCTGCCTCTCTGAATAAGAATCTCCATGTTGTGTTACTCACGTGATTTAAAAAAAAAATATATTAAGTAGGTATCAGAAATCAAGTCCACAATAAGAATTTGTTAATAATCCAGAAAGTTTGGTAACATTTAAACGTCAAAACAGCTCAGTAGTTGTCAAAGTGTGGATGTGGACCAGCAGCATCAGCACATCCTGGCAACTGGTTAGACATGGAGATTCTCAGGCCCCACCCCAGACCTACTGGGAGAATCAGAAACTCTTCGGGGTGGGCGCCACAATCTGTGTTTTGACAGGTCCTCCAGGTGATTCTGATGCACACTAAAATTTGCGAAGTGAAGTGTGATTTAGCTACTTCTGGCAAAAACAGTTGAGGCCAGAGGTCAATCTTGATAGAATTATCCAGAGGGATGAACTCACAGATGTATTTAACACTCCCCCCCCCCCCAAAACAACAAACGTGATGTTCCTCTTTACTCCCTAGTGATCCCCAGTAGTAATTTGGGAAGAAAGGGTTGGTTTCAGTTCAAATAATCTAATGAGAATATTTCTGGTTGGAGAGTTCCTTGAAAGAAGCAATTGGTCTATATGTGCAATTCAACACACCGAGACATTTTGGACAGAGAAAGTGATAAGGTCATTGAGACATTCTTAACTGCTAAAAAGGAACACCTTAGTGAATTCTACAACTTGTTCCTGGATAATGGTAAGAATGGCAGCCTAACATTCAAATTGTATCCGAACTGTCATCCTGCACAGCAAGTCTCAGTTGACAGACCTTTCCTGAGTTCTATTACACATGCTAGGCTACTTCGTTGGCTCCAAGGACACTGTAGATGAGTAATAAACACATCTACAGATACTACAGTAGATGTTGAGGAAAAAGTCATTGAAGTGGAGGCTGAATTTTTCATTTGTAGATAATGTGCCTGTTTTTCAAACCGTGCTACCTGGAGATCAAGACATTCATCCCATTTGAGGTTGCCTGGCCCCTAGGTCAGCCTGAAGGCAACAATGTTAAACTGAGAAGGGATAACAAAAGTAGCCACCTGCCAGTCTCAAACAAATACAACACATTTTGAGTTCTAATACAGGCTTACATTCAATATTATCACATAAACTTGTGATATTCTTCAACAATCTAATTCTTTACAGTTAAATTTTACCTCATCAAAGTATTAAAGAAAATGTCTAATAAACTGAAATCTATATAACCAAAAACAACAACCTAAAAATAACGCTTTATTGAGAAAAAGACTTTGCAAAATGTTGTATATTGGAATGGAATATCACTCAGCCACAAAAAGGAATTGAGTACTAATCCAAGCTACAACATGGATGAATTTTGAAAACATTATGCTAAGTGAATGAAGCCAGACACCAAAGAGCACATATTGTGATGATTCTACTTATATAAAATGCTCAGAATAGGCAAATCTATAGAAGAAGAAAGTAGATGAGCGGTTGCCAGGCCTGAGGTCAGAGAGAGTGAGGAACCACTGTCCATGGAGTTTCTTGCTGGGGTGGTTCAAATGTTCTGTAATTAGATAGCAGTGATGGTTCCACAACTTTGTGAATATACTAAAAACCACTGCCTTGTACACTTTAAAAAGATGAATTGTAAGCCACGCGAATTGTCTCTCAGTTAAAGAAATTCACAACACACTCAGGGCATGTGACTTGCATGGCATACAAAGCAATATTCTCTGGTTTCTTTCCATACCACAGTGAAATTTACCTCAAATGATAATCTAAGTACCAAGAGGATCTGGCTTTGTTGTTAAAACAGATCGATAATGGAAATGTAAATTCAACAGGTGTGTATTTGATGATCACAGCACTTTCAAAAGACGTCTTCCCTCTCCAGAAGCAAATGTATGGTTTTAGAGAAAACCAGGACCAGATTCCCCCGCAAGTCTGAAATGTAAACGTGTATATCACATCACCCCTGAGGACTTTCATAAAGCCTTTTGGCATTTAAATTATGTCCATGTATCTGGGGGGCTATTGGCAATTATTACCATATTTGCAATGCAATTCTCATTAGCTAAAACATGAAAATGATTTCTCTTTCTAAAGGTTACTGTGAGCACCATCTATTGGATGAAAATGTAGGTTAATGTCTACTTTATTATGAACAATCTAAAATAAAAAAATTGGGATCCTCCAACTGAAAAAAGTAAAATACGTGTACTCACAAACTAAGGTATATTTTCTAACTTGTAGGTTAATGCCTCCAAACCAATTATACTCCATCTTAGTAGAACATCTTCAAGAAGGAAAAAAGACATTTCCTGATTAAAATGCAAAATCCAGTCTTAACAGTTCTTCTAGAAAACGACTAGAACACTTGAATCTGCTTGGCAGATAAATATTCTAACTGGCTATTTCAGAAAGCAATTTCAGTATTAAATGTGTAACCTGGAAGGTGGTGGATGACAGATGAATCCATGAATACATCTATCAACCTACAGGTCCTCCCTGACTTTGGTGGCAATGGCAGAACTTGACAGAAATTTTAATTGAAACTTTTTTTTTGAAGTGACTGCCCAGACTCGAAAGTGACTAAATTAAAAGTACTGGAAAACACTGAAAAGTCAGGTTGGTACTTGTTCCTGTTACTACCTTTCGGGCGCGCTCGGGCGCGTGTGTGTGTGTGTGTGTGTGTGTGTGTGTGTGTGTGTATTAAATTCGCATCCGGCAAGTGTACTTTTCATCCAAATCCATCCTATCTGTAGCAAGAACTTAACCGCAAAACCGCGATACACTACGTAGCCCCGCACCAAGGTTGTATTTATCTCATGTGTATCTAAAAGGCTCTTTTCACACTTTGCAAAAGAGGAGGGCGAAGAGCTGTGAGGGCAGGGACGGCGACAGGCAGACCTCTCTCCTGGCGGCCGCAGCACGCATCCCCGCCGGCAGATGGAAGGTGGCGGAGGCGCGAGGTGGGGAGGGGGCGCATTCTCCCACGCTGCTGACACGAGTCGCGCGGCCGCCCACACCGTGGGATGCCCAGTCCACGGTCCCTTTTTCCTCCTTGCTAGATGGCGGCGGTAGTAAGTACCGAATGTGCTGAAATCTCCCCACCCGTGTCCAAAACGATCCCGGAGACAGCCCCACCGAGGTCTTCTCACTCACCCAGGCGGCAAACACAGAGGAGCTGAATACAAGCGAGGAAGCGCTTTAGGATTCGCATCTCCAGACGGTCCGGGGCCCCCCACGGCGCGGCTCCTCAGCTTCTCGGGATGAAGAGGGAGGGGGCGCTAAGGAAATGTTTTCTCCTCCAGTGTACAGATCGGTGTGAGATTGTGTGTGTGCGTGTGCGAGAGAGAGAGAGAGAGAGAGAGAGAGAGAGAGAGGAATAATCGAGTGAAGGACGCGTGGGGCTCGCGGGAGGGAGCCGCTAGCCGAGGAGCATGCCGGCGGGCGGGCGGGCGGAGGCGGTCTCGCTGGGCGGCCGCGGCCGCGTCTGAGCGCTCGGAGCGCAGCGGCGCCTGTGTGCCGGGAGCGCGCTCCGGCCGGGCTGTGCGCGCCGCGGCGGCGGGGGCGGGGTCGGGGGCGCAGCCGCGGGGAGCGTGCGGCTCGCCCGGGGTCGCGCGCGGGGGGCGGAGGGGCGCGGCTGTCGCTCAGGGTCCGGGTCCCAGTGTAGCGATTCACTTAGCGCCACCCCTCCCCCCGGCCCCTGCCACGGGGTTCGCAGCCCTGGAGTTAGTGGAACGCGCTGCGGTTTAGAATCTTCGCGGAGAAAATGTCTCTTCATTAAAACTCCTTCAGCCCTTTGGAAGAGGAGAGGAGGCCAGACTCCCATTGTCCCGCACAGCCAGTGATTGACCTCTGGGGTAACCCCTGGAAATGTTTTTCATTTTATTGTCGTCCTCCCTGCAGATGCTAAGTAGGTCCAATGAGAAAGTGGGTGGGGACCCCTGGGCAAACTGATTCCCTTCTCCTTTCTCTTTCCATTTTCCAAATCACCAAAGTAGTTCCGACCCCATTAGCTCTAGGGCAGTTGACTGCAAATAATCTCCAGCCCTGATTGTGACCAGTCAGACCCTGCCCCTTGCCCAGACTCCAATCAAACTGTCCTGCTGTGCACAGCTGCTTGGAGGCACTTTCAACTCTGCTATGGTCCTCCCGGACGGGACTACCCAAGCGCCTCCTCGCACAGGGTCGCGCGGGAAGATTTTTTAATTGCTTGACTGAAAGATATACAAAAGAAATACAATACATGCCTCAGAGCTGGAAATGTACGTGCTTGTTTCTATGGCGGTCTCCTAACTAGACTGTGAGAACCTTGATGGCAGGGAGTTTGCCTTATTTGTTGTTATAACCCAGCTCCTAGCACAGGGGCGAAAACAGTTAGTAGATGTTCCCTAAACGTTTGAGAACTAATTTGAAGCCTAAATGAAAAGATAAGGCAGCTGGTGGTGTCCTCCGTCAGCCTCTCTGCACTGAGCCTTAAAAAGTCATGAGCTTGTCAAAGATTTTCATTTATATGTCCTTTAGCTATAAGTACTTATATTTTTGTACTTATATGAGATCCAATTTGGAGCCTTCCAGGAGTCCACTCTAAGGCACAGAAAGTCAAGTTCTGGAATTATCCCTTGTCTTCCTAGCAACCATTTGATGTAGGTTATCTGTACAGTGTGTACTCCTGTGTCGTGTTCTTGTCTCAAAAATAGTACTTTAGCTTTAAATTTTTAAAGAAAGCTTATTGCATAGAAAATTGCTTTCTGAATGTATTTCGAGTGTTACTCCCTGCTCTCACTAATATCCACAGCCTCTGAACACAAGGTTAAATGTGCAGAGCTAATGACATGATTTGCTATTTCTTCTGGAATTGATTGTAGTTGTGTAATAACAAATTTCAAATCTATCTAGAATGTTTATTCAGGAATACGTATAAATGTTAAGAAATTGATGCTTGATCTTATTCTTCCCATGAATAAAAATAGAAATGCTGCAACTTCTACAGGAATTATAATGGGGATTGATGATTGTTCATGTGAGTTTTCACTTAGGAAGAAAATTTTTGCTTGCATAACAAGAAGTGTGTGTATAAACTAGAAGTACACTAAGTAGTCAGGGAAATTGTCTAATATGGACTGGAGTAGTCAGGGGAGGTTTCCTAGAGATGTGTAATTAATCAAGAAGGACTAGCTGGGAAAAAATTGATGTCAAAGGGGATGGGGACAAGAATGGAACAAGGTGATGTCATGTGCTCTAAAAACAATGTGAATTAAATTTGGGCAGATTGAGTGGGGTGAGACTATGGGAAACACTGGTTTTCTAGCTGAGGAGCTTATGCCTAAAACACTAAGAAAGAGGGAACCCTAAAAGATACTTCCAAGAACTTCAACTGTTTAGAAACAAGGTTTGCTCTGGGGCATGTATGATGTTCCAGGAGGTCTCAGTTATCAAGTCTACCCACTAGCTGGCCGAAATAATCCAACAATAACAAAAATCAGCCTAACTCCTCCCTTACTTGGCCGAAAAGTCACATCACTAGTCACTCTTTTGGGTCAGATCACAAAACAACTGTTGAAATCAAAGTTACCCTACTGAAAAGGGCAGCTGGGTCCTGTGGTCTCTGCTAATTCCATTCTCACATTTAAAATTATTGTCATTCACCTGGGAAGGCACAAAAGCCAACCTTGAAGGAGTGGTCAAGTTGCTATTGAGGTTTGTATGGGGAGGAGGCTGGCAACCAAATCTCTGTGACTGGGCAATGGAACACTGACTTGGAGGACCAGCCAATGTAGACCTGACAGTCCTGGGGAGGGTGATGGAGTGGGAGGCTCAGGAGCTTCAGGTCCTTGGAAAATAGGTCATTACAAAAGCCCAGGTGTGGGAGAAGAGAAGGCATCCGAAGGGCGGGAACATCAAAAACATATTGTATGTATAAAATGTTTTCACATTTCACAATTTTATGGGGGTCATGGTCATTTCTGAGATATATTACCTGATCAATATATATTAGTCATTGTGAGTTAAAGTTATAAACCTGTAAAACCACATACCTTCATTCAGAGTCTGAATTGATCTATCAATCTGTCTACCTATTTATCCATATACAGATAGATATAGATATATTCTCTATATATTTTATGTATTTATACTTATAAATATATTTTTATATTCTGCATATTTTATATATATTCTAGATATGTGTGTGTGTGTGTGTGTGTGTGCACGTTAGTGAAGTTCATTTACATTATGTGCTATCATGTCAATCACATTTAAGTCCTGGAAGTTTGTAGTTACATACAAAGTTCAGTACATTCCTAGGAGAGTACTTTTTTTAAAAAAAACAATAACAAAACAGGATACAGTTAGTATGACAGTTGGGTAGCTTAATGAACATCTTGCTTCTGTGGGGGTCTCATCTGGGATTTTAGAGTGAACTGCCACTGCCAGTGGCAATTCATGAGAGAGTCATAGAGTTCTTCACTTTTCACCATAAACTCTCTGTTTAATTCCTCAATATTCAATTGAAGACTTGGATCTTCTAGTGGGTCTTTATCTCGGGTTTCAGCCAGAACTGTGGTTTCCTCAAGTGTAACCAAAATTTCACGTCAGTGTCAAAATGTCTCATGTGCAAAAAGAAGGTCGTGTCCATTTCCACCCACTGCACAGCCACAGCTGTAGCCAGAAAGAGAATAACAGCTCTGCTGTTGCTCATTCTAGTTTCCAAAGGAGTAACCTTGGTGGGGCTGGAACTCTGGCTTCACTCATTGCCAGTACCAGTAAGAACTATTTTATTGAGCTATACTAACAAAATAAGCTATAGGGTAAATTATCTATCTGTCTGTCTATCTATCTATGCCTATCTATATCAGTTCTTTAAATTTCATCCTTTACATTCATTCATTCAACACATTTCCATTGTGTATCCATTATGTATCAGGCATTGCTTTAGAGGTTGACCATTCAAGTATAAATTACTCCATTCCTACCATAAGGGAGCTACAGTCTAATAGGAGAGAAAGACATTGCATCTGCAAAATGATTATCAGATAAAATACAGGGTACCCAGTTAAAATTTAATGTTAGATAAACAATGAATAATTTTTTAGCACAAGATAACTTTAGTGCACTATGATGCACAAAATTTAATGAATAACTTTTTGGTATAATGAATAGTTTTTAGTAAAAAGTAATTTTCAGTGCACTCCTATGCAATATTTGGGACATATTTATATTTTTAAAATGTCGTTGTTTATCTGAAATTCAAATTTAACTGGATGTCCTATGTTTTTGTTTGCTAAATCTGACCATCTCACTTTGGTGTGTCTAGGAATTGTCTGATGTCAGGGCTTGTCATCTGTGGTTGTGAAATGTCCGTGGTTTCCCATAGGTTTCCTTACTCTCCAAATTATTTCCAAAGTGTCCCTAACATGAATAAAGATAGAGGCAGATGGGGGAAGCAGCGTGTTTTCTCTGCAGAATGTGTTTGTCTCGTAAATTCCACGGAAGTGCTGGGAGACTACAGAATATGGGACAGTCACTGAATAAAACATGGAATCAAGGGGGGAGTAAAATATAAGTATACTTCTTATACTATGTCTGTAATAAGTTCTTCCTGTTTGGCTCACATACATTATTGCTCACTTTTATCCATAGTCAATGACAAATATATTTGAACGCAAGTCATTAGGTTGGATCAATTAAATATTTATGGTCTGGAAAGTAACTTATTTATTTAGAAGTAAAATACGGTTTTTGTAATTATAAGATGTTTGTCAGAAGCAGATGTCATTTTACTTGAAACCACGTATTTTGGATTGTGAGGATAGATTTAGCTTATATTTTGCACCTTGCAAATTTTGTGCTCATATGATTGACACAACAGCATCTTCTCAGTATTCTTGCAGTGAAATTTTTGAAAAGGCTGAAGAGTAATTTTACTTTCTCCAACGTAGTCAAATCTTTTATTTAGATTTGTCCTACTAGTAACTTTCTACCTAAAAAGCAATTACTTCCTACCTGCCTGAGCTTTGCATCTTTGTTCCTAACGACTCTTAGGAGTTTAGCTAGAGGGGCTGTTACTGCCTTTTCCCAATATCAGGCATAAAACAGTTGGGAGGATCCTCACTGACAGGTCCAGAGCTGAGTGCGATGTGCACTCTGAGTCCGTCTGAAGGAGGCATAATTATGTTTAAGAGAAAATCACAGCACATTACATACTTAGCCTCTTAGCATCTTATCACGGTTGACTATAAAATAATTTAAACTTATTTTATGCCAAGTATATAATTCAATGATTAAAATTGTGTCAAAGAACAGAAAAAGTTAGGAAGCATTATTTCCATTTCAGGAATATTTAGTGTAGTAGGAGATTCAGGATAATTCTTCCTCTGTGTGTTCGTGGAATAATCCTCTTTCACATTTTATATATTTTCAATTTAAAACAGTGATTAGATGGGGCCAGCCTGGTGGCAAAGCAGTGAAGTAC